AACCCAACGCACAAAATATCTTTGTGTGTGCGTTTGAATCTATGAGAGTGCAGGCGGCGATCAACATTATTAACACGAGAAGGAGGAGAGCGACCCGATAAATTATACGATCCTACAGCACCTTCATCTGTTTGGATAGAAGTAGGAGAGTAGAAAGGGAGAATGAAGGTATCGTGCCAGTTCAAACATAACAAAAGTTCTGATAAGAGAAAGACAAAAAACGAATAAAACATCAGGGGAAGGGTCATATTCGGATCCATAGAGAGTGTAGGAGAAAGGGGGGTCAAACCGATGAAAAAACGTTCTCGGCACATATGAATTGTTGAGTCGCCTGACTCTGAATGAGATGATAATTCTATGCAGATCGTATTCGAGCTTTAGCTCCTAATATAAACCCTCTTTGCAGGAAATTATGAGCGGTATTAGAAGGAATAATTCTGAAGATGTTAGCTCAATGCAAAGACAGGGGAACGAGGAGCAGAGTAGAGCTCCGCCAACAAGAGCTGCTGAAAGAGCTAGACTGAGAAGAGAACAAGAAGGAGAAGAAGAGCGGAGAGCTCGCCTGTCAAGAAACGCAGAAAGAGCAAGGGTGCGAAGGGGACAGGAAGGAGAAGAGCAACGACGAGCTCGCCTAGAAAGTGATGCTGAAAGAGCAAGAATACGGAGGGAACAGGAAACAGAGGAGCAACGACAAGCTCGCTTAGAAAGAATGAGTCAAAGAGCAAGAGCGCGGAGAGAGCAAGAAAGCGAGGAGCAGCGACAAGCCCGCTTAGAACGAGTAAGTCAAAGAGCAAGAGTGCGGAGGGAGGAAGAAGGAGAGGAGCAGCGACGAGCTCGCTTAGATCGACTAAGTCAAATACAAAGAGCGCGGAGGGAGGAAGAAGGAGAGGAGCAGCGACAAGCCCGCTTGGAACGACTGAGTCAAAGAGCAAGAGTGCGGAGGGAGGAAGAGGGAGAGGAGCAGCGTCAAGCTCGCATAGGAAGAATTACTAAAAGAACAAGAACGCGAAGGGAACAAGAAGGAGAGGAGCAAAGAAGGGCTCGCCTCACAGGCATTGCCACAAGGACTAGATCGCGAAGAGTTCAGGAAAGCGAAGAGCAGCGAAGGGCTAGACAACTACGCGATGCAGAACGAGCAAGAACACGGAGACAACAAGAAGGCGATGAACGACGCGAACAGCGAAACATTGCAACAGCAGAAAGGGAAAGGGCGCGAAGAACGAGGTTTTCAAGAAGTCAAGTCGATCTCCGCCTCCTCTAGAGCTCCTTCAAATCTTCTGTGGTAAGTCAATCACTGGATTAGGTTACTGATTGGAGCTACTCCAATGTCTCATCTCAGGTATTTTCAACCGCTGCTATCGTCCCCGCCTCCTCTACACCTTCTTGGAAATCCTATGCAGTAGGTTAACCAATGAATAAGTCTGCTGACCGAACTTACTTAAACTCTGATTTTAAGTTGTATTAAAAGCTCCTACTTCTCCGCCTCCTCTATGGCTCTTTCATACTCTCTGTGGTAAGTTAATCACTGCATAAGTCTACCGAATGGAATACTGTAATGCCTCATCTCAGGTATTATCAAGCGTTCCCATCTTCTCCGTCTCCCCTGAAACTCCTTTAAAATTTTTCACGGTGGCAGAGTTCGTTGATCAATAAGTCCACTGATTAAAACAACTGTACTGTCTCATTTAAAGGTCTTTCAAGCGCTTCCGTCCTCTTCGTCCCCCATAAAACTCTCGAAAATCCTCTTGTTAAGTGATTTTATTAATAAGTCGTCAATTGAACCTATTTTGAGTTATTTCTTTAGTTCCTTTTGTCGTCTCACCGTCTACTCCACCTAAACACTACTGAAGAACACACCGCTTGCTACTAATGAGGAACAGCGATATCTTGAACATCAAAATTTGTGTAGAATGTTGAAAGTTATGCTAATGTTAACATGGTTTTTACCAAAGATTTAGCCGAACGAGATGTTTCCCAGATTTTTCTTCACTTCCACCACGAGTGACTTGAGTTCTCTTTTGTTCTATCCCTAATTGTTTCTTCAGTTTTCAGTTAGTTTTTTCCCCAAACAAGCGATATCCGTTCAAATGACGGCTCTGACAGATGCAAATAAATAATAGAAATGCAATTGAGTTCGTTACAACTTCAACAGAGTATAGGTATGAATAATAAGAAGGTTGACAAGAGGAACTGAGGGTGATTTTAATTTCATTCTCTGTTCCAAGATTTGTCAATGCCAATAAATTGTGACTGCAACAGGTAGAAGAGAAAAATATTTTGTTAGATTTACTCGCTTTCGATGCTATGATGAAGCGTGTAGCAGGAATAATCCCTGTGAAAAATGTGAAAGCGGGAGATGTCTTCATCGAGAGAAGCATAATGAAGAAAAAGTTGTTAGTCATCTGTTATCGATGGAACCCACTTCTGGGCTACTAGAATAAATCCTCTAATTGCTAATAGGACTAATAAATTGCTTAGAATCATCTTTAAGGGAGTCCATTCATCGAAGATCGTGAAACGCGCACGGTATCGTGCGCAGCTCAACTGGTAGAGAAGAAGATTCAATCGAATACAAACAAGAGGAGTTAGAAAGGTCATTGTTTCTATAGAGAGGACCATTAAAATGGTTCGTTTGCGAGTCAGCCGTGATGCTGGGTGACCCTCAAGAGGAAGTCAACGGGCACGGCTCATGGGAATTGTCGAGATGGCAGGTTGTCGAGCGAAAGCTTCATTGCCATTCCCATCGTATACGAAAATCGCACTCCATTTCGAATCTCAAGAGAAAGTGTAGGGTGACAAAATGCAGAAGGTTATTAACTCGCATAAGTTGAGACACGCATCCCTGCATCGTTTTCTCTAGCTAAAAAATTTCTAAGGAAAATCTATTTCTCAACAAATCAAACGATCACATTATGACTATAAACATTAAACGTGCAATTCCTCACAAAAAGGGTTATAAGAACAACAAAATTATGTTTATTGTGGGAGTCACTGGCAAGGATAGGATGCTCGTGGTTCCGTCGGTGCCAGCGTAAGAAATGACAACAACCTGAGCTCAAATGGCATACTGCTGAACGTAATGGAGCGCTGATCAAAATCCGCCTCCTGAAACAGCTCGTAGTCCTCCCAGCAAGACGGTATTCCAGCCCACAGATCCGAGCTCGCCCAGGAGTGGTGCCGACGCCCGCTGCCCAACTTCATTAGCAAAGAGGAATGGTTATCCTCTTTCCAGATCTTAACCCACTTGACTCCTCCGTATGGTCCCTGAATAGAAGAGGACCTGTCGTGATTGCAGTGCTTTCTTAGAGTTCTAGAAAGCTAGACTCAGAAACGGCCGGAAAGAAATGGAGGAGGATATCTGCCTGCAACATGAGAGAAGTTCGAGAACAAGCTTCGGGCCTCTATCCATACTCATGTGGGATACTTTAAAAATGTGATTGTAGCATTTTGTAGCACATAATGTAAGCAAACGTGCATATAGATTCCATTGTCATTCTTAGTTGAGCTGCCACGAGTTGGCGCCCATAGTTTTGCGACACTCGGTATACATATATGATGCATTTTTATCATTCCCTTTTTTCGATCATTACTGGCGTAGACATGGACTGTTTCAAATGCTGTGTTAGAGGCGTAGTATCATAGACGGTACACACGGCCGTGGAACGTTATATCTGGATCAATTGATGAAGTTTTGCTGTGCGTAGGTTGGACCGTGCTGTAGGAGGTCGATCGCATACCGCGACAGTTCCGTGTAGGACCAGCCTAGGGACTGCAAGGGCCAGAGCAACATCCAGCGTGGCAAGGGCGGGAGCGAGCGCCGCATGAGATCCTGATCGGACCCTCACGCCTCTCCTAAGCGCGACGAACCCCGATGCCCATCTATAGCGAGGAGCAAGGGGTCACCGCAGGCGCCACACGTATGACGGGGATACCCACAGGTTATACGTGGACAACCGGGACCACCAAAAAGCTTGGTTCAGGATCGTCAACAACGTCAAGACGAGACGCAGGTTGAATCGTTCCTCAAAGACATGACGCGTATTTGACATGACTCCATTGTCACCGAAGCTATTAAAAACCACTGAACCATCCTCACACTTTCTATTATTGCCAACATAAAACATAGTATGAGGGAAACACTTTACACATATTGCATTTCTTCAATCGTATTCGAAGTACGTCAATCGACTCATTATCGACAAAGCCACATGAAGATAGTTCTACGCGTAACTCACACAATATTAATAAGACGGAGTTGATCCTTCATATTTTCAAAATACTCGGTACAAGGTAGGGCATATTAGCGAGAACCCAGGCTCATTTGTCACTCTAGATGAGTATTTGTTTGGTCTCGAAATAGATTGTTTTGACTTGATATTTTGTTATCTGCTGTTATTTCGCCGCAGTACGCGATGATCTAACAGTCTAAAAGGGATGAAGAGTTGTGGTGAAAACTTTGGCCTCGCACTGGCTCCCGTCCGACCGAGTTTCGCCCATAACTCATTGTCTTTGTGAGACTATCAAAATCTCTGGGTCTCAATGCAAAGTCACGTGAAGTTTTCCTGATTGGCACTTAACATTTCCAATTCCGGAAGAAGGAAAGCGAATACAAAAGACTTTGTAACCTGAGTCATACATTTTTGAATTTCCCTACTAGAAAACTAAGTAAATAAACACAAATAAACAGAAAAACTAACAAGAACAATCATTACTTCGAAGATGAGCGATGCGTAGTTTGTAAATGGATTAGTAAATTCTAACACACCAACTATACACTACTAACCTTCTAAGCCAAAGAAAATAACAGCTGTACCAGAGCGACTGCGAAGAAACGAGACCACCGAAGAACATATCTGAATTAGAAATATTCAAGAAACAGTAACCAGAACTCATTTTGCTAACATAGAACAGTAACTACTATCGCAGTCCCTCAAGATTGCAGTTCTACCTAGAGTACTTGAGCTGCAAAAAATTGGCATGTTGAGCCCAAGCGGCCTGAAATCGGAGACCTCAGCCCAGTACTCCAACACTTTCCAGCACTAGCATGAAGATACACATTCTTGAGTAGTAGCTATATGTTCACTCATGTCCTACTTTTTCTTCTTGTCCCTCACTCACAGGGTTTACAGCAGCTGAACACAACAGCATCAACATCAGCATCAATTAGCATCAAGAGTAGATTTGTTTTGGGAATGGAAATAAAAAGGAAAGTCATATGCAAATCGTGAGCATCTGCATTTGCAGCATCTCCGGAAGCGAGTTTAACCCATTGCGTACAGCATGCCGCACATGGTGCAGCACGCCCTTTTGCCTCAGCGCGCCCGTGTTTTCGTCCAAAATCACCCTAGAATCGAACAGCCCATATTTGCGATTCGCTCTAACAACCGCTCTGTATGGCTGCGTGCTGCACGCCGTTAACCAAGTCGCCTCGTCGATTATGAAGAAAACGCCGGGCACATGCGGCAGCTAGCGCAAAACACAGCGGTACGCAATGGGTTAAGAACGACGTCATCTTGGCACGACGGAGAAAGGCAGATCGAGGACCGTCAGCACAATCCGAGTAAGCTCGACCTTCTTACCAAGGAACAAGTCTTTGAACTATCCAAAACGTGCATCCACTTCTGCTCAAGGATATTAACATCTTTTGCACGTCATTTGCGGCCGCTATATCTTCTTCACCCTATCTATGTTTACTAAAACAGTCGGATCGCCCGCCTAACGCTGGGCTCTCCTTCCTCTTGTGTCGAAGTTGACCCGCTGACTGTATTCTGGAGTGTTTGAAAGCTCTGGTTCTAATGTCAGGAGCTAATGATTTCCAGCGACGAAACACACACACACCAAGAACTTCGTGCTCGCCCTGCCCGCCACAGGCGAAGTCCTGCTCAACTCCTGCGTTTTCAAGTAACATGGTCCATTCCCCTTTCATCCCAACTTGAATGCGTGGTTTCACTCAAATTACGCTCATTTCAAGCATGGCTCGCCTCCCTCCCCTTCATTCCTACAGTGACGGAATTTCATCCCGCGTGCGGGATGAAATTCCGCCACTTTCTACTACCTGCCATGGGTGTTTGGGTGCAGGTAACGCTGACACCCAAAGACTCAAACATGTGGAGCCAGGAC